CTCTGAAACAATTGGTATAATTGGCCCTTAAGAGATTCTATACCAGGGCATTGATCACAATTTATTAAATAACATTTTGGCTGAGAGGGCTTACAAATAATTTGCGCCAAAAGATAGTTATAAGAATTTATACAGTTATCTTCTCCTGCTGTAATTTCAGCTATTACATTTGTCATTAATTTAACATTCTGATGAATGGCGCAGACATAAACAGTGACTAAAATACAGTTTTTTGGCCTAAGTTCGGTAAATTTAGAGAAACTAATTGATATATTTGGGTATTCTTCCTTAAACATCTTGAATATTTCTTTAAGATTATTTAATATTAGTCTTTTTTTGTACTGGTTCTTTCTCGCCTTTAATAGATATACAATCTTTTATTTCAGGCATGAGTCGGCTTATTTCATCAGAACTAAAACTCCTTGACGAGTTTAAATGTTTTTTCGTTTAGTGTCTTTCCTGCCTTATATTTTGGGAATGAAAGAATTCCACTTTCTTACCACCATTTTGGATTTTCTTGCCATGTATGATGTTACGTTGAATTCCTCTTGAATTTTATCTACACTCCATCTTTGAGGCAAAATTGTAAGAATTTGAATAGTTGATTTTTTGATTATCAAATTATCTTTTTATATAATAAGAATTTCCACTTTCATCGGACTGTCATTCTCGGAATCAGATATTTCTAAAACCTTAGTCTTTATTGCTTTTTCAATCTTTTGAATTTTATTTTTTGGATATTTTTTTCTTCATTAAAAGTTTTTTTTAATTGGTGATTCTCCAAAATTGTATAATGAATGTTTCATTAATCGATTAAAAGGCATCTTGATTATAGGTTATTGGGGATATAAATTCTTCGGGAATGTATGGACCAATTTTACTTAACTGGTAGCGGCACGAATTAGATATTTTTTGTTGAAGATATAAATCACTATTTTATTAAGGATCCAAGGTAGCACCGATCTTAGATTTGTTTTAAAATGTTTTGTTTTATTCAGATTGCAACACTTTCGCTTATCTTTTAAAGGTTTCATTTAAAAAAATTTATTTATTTTAAAGACAAGTAAAAATATAAAAAATTAGCTTTTTTTAAATTAGAAAAATGTTAAAGAAATGAATTTTTATTTTTAGCAACTGAGATTTATTGTTAGTGTTTTCATGATTTTCGCTTATTAATTTTAATAATCAGTTTATTTTTTATATAATTAAAGATAAAATAATCTGGCTTATATTTGATTAATTTTTTTAGTGTTTGCTCAAAATTCAAAGACTTTGATCATAAAAATTTTTAGCAAAAAATTTTTGATCTTCGAAAAAACTACAATTTTGTATATCTCTGGTTTTTAAAATAATTTAAGATAATGACAATTCCATAAAAGAATCTCAGGCCTGGTAATTAATGTGATTTTCAATTTTTTCCTTAATAATTTTCCTGCACTCCTTTAATCCTGCTTTTTTATTCGTGTGCTAGTCGGATTTTATTATTTTTAATTTACATTTTAATATTAAAAAAATTATTAAATTTTTTTATCCTTCAAATATCTCAGGAGAATGAGGTTTACAAAGTTATATAAAAGAATTTTATGATATATTATACTTGAGAATATTTTTAAGCAATAAAACAAATGAATTTTATCATATTAAATCTATTATATATAGCGCCATCTATTTTTATAAAAGTATAGAATCGCAATAATTTTTAAAATAAATATCCAGTCAAGCTAATTGTTGAAGATATTAATAAAAATATAGTAAACAAATAATATTTTTTAAAAAATTTAAAATTGGAGATCATATTCATTTCGAAATATAAATTTCAAATTTTATACTAACCATAAGATGACCCATATTTTAAAAAAAATTTATTTTGATGTTTTCGCCATAATTATCAATTAACTTAGCTATTAATATTATATTCAATATTTGATAATATTTAGTTTCAAATTAAAAACTAATTATTTAACATCAGTAAAAAGCAAAAAAAGATGTTTTTTGACCTTTAACCCGATTATCTCCGCTAATATAGTTGCTAACGCGCTAAAATTTTGTTTATAATCTAATGCGAACATATAGAACCAGTCTACAACTTTTTATCGAAATTGAAAGGGATCGACTGAAAATCTTGATTTTCTTGCTCATTTGACATGGAATGACCCTATATAGTTATGATTAATATAATGTTGGGTGAAAGTTAACACTAGCTAACACTCATAGCATCTATTACATAATATAATTATAGTTATCCTGCCAAGGAATAAATACGCAAAGGATAATAGGCAATAAATATATTATTATATAATATATAATATATGTTATATTTTTTATCAATTAAAATATCAGTTTCATTTTTTTTATAAATAGAATTAATATAGTATATTCTCAAAATATTATTTACACAAATTTTTATAGTATCAATTTGTAATATACTAAATATCTGTTTAGAATAAAAATAAATAAAATATGTAGTAGTGTTGTTAAACGGCTCGTTTTGAGCTGATTTTTAAAAACGACTAACACAGTATTTTATCCAGAAAAATATTAAGCAAGCCTGAAAATTTTGTTCATAGAAGGAGCAAAGGTCTAGACATATAGTATCGAAATTTCGAGACTTAGTCAATATTTTTCTGGCGAAAATACGAAAATATTGAGTTAGCCGTTTTAAAAAATCGGCTCAAAACGAGCCGTTTAACAATATTAGCTAATATGCTTGCTTATTAAATGATAATACTCGTCGAAAAATATGATAAAATACCGAATAGGTAAATTTTTTGTATATAACAGGTCGAATATAATTTTAAAAAATTCCGAGACCGTGTAACGTGTGAAAGTGATTATCAAAATCTCACGGCTAATACTGTGTGAAAGTGATTTCATGAGATTTTGATTTTTATAACTTCAAGGGGGTCATTTAAATATTCAAAATCTCACGGCTATTCAATATTTCAAAATCTCATGGATTTTTTCAAAATCTCGCATTATGAATTTCAATATGCTAAAGCTTAAATTGTCTCAAATTTAAAACGTCAGATTTGCACGAAGCTGCCAAATTGGAATATTTCTATACAATACAATTTAATTTGAAATTCTTTTTAGTATATTTCCTGCATTATGAAGTAAGTTTTTAACAAAATATTTTTTATTTAAAAATTATTTTAGCAATAATTTTAAAGATATATATGACCTCCTAAAATGTTCTAAAGTTCCAATGAATGTTAATAAGTCAAACTTTATTAGGAAATGTAATGCCTTCAAAATTATAAATGATAATTTATTTTACACTATAAGCGAAAGTAAATTTTAGATGTTATATAATAAAATTTAATAGAAATAATATAATATCTTTTAAAAGTAGGAATAGTAATATTTTTATTAATAACTATAGGGTTTTCATTTTCTTTGTTGGCATTATCTTTATCTAGCTATTATTAAATAATAAATATCAAATAATAGTAATATAATGTACAGAAATTTTCACAAAGATTTTATTTTATACTCTCATTAAAAAACATATTTAAGCCATTGATTGTGTTTATTTTTTGTGCATCACATAATATTATTTTAATATATATTTTAATGATATATTATTTTAGAAGAAAGGAAAGTTTTATGGACAAGAGATGAACAAAAAAATATCATTAAACAATACATGAAGGAGGTGTATCCACAGTTCCAGGTATAGCTATGAGAGGGCATCTGGGGATTAATAAAACTAATCAGATAATAACCGAAAAGTAAAAATATGCAATATTATCTTATTTAATTTTTTACAGCTTTTATTGGTTGAGCAGCAATAAAGACATTAGGGAGTTTATCAAATCCTGTGAGGTTTGTCAAAAATCAAGCAGTCGTTTTGATAAAACTTCAAATGTGTTGCACAATATTAAAGTGGTTCCAAAATCTTGATATCAAATTGGCATTGATTTAATCCAGATGCCAGAATCTAAAGAAAATTATAAATACATTTTATGTGCCATATGCTATTTCTTTAAATATATAATGGCTATTCCTATTAAGGATAAAACAGCTAACTCTGTTGTTTAAGCTAATACATCATTGTCAACACCCATTAATGTTATGAAGTAATAAAATTAAAAATACCAATTTTAACTTATTTGAATTTTATTAATATGCATTTTTTTTTAAATTTAATAAAACTAAAATATATATTTATTAAAGATTCAGATTGATCAAGGTAGGGAATTCTGTAACAATGTTTGTACAGACAATAAATATTGTGGGATTGTTCAGAGAATAACTTCAGCTTACCACCCACAAGCAAATGGTTTGGTTGAGAGAGTTAACAGAACAATCCAGAACCGAATAGCAAAATCAGTTTTGGAAACACCAACTGCTGGCCAGATGCTTTAGTAGGGGTATGTTGCACCTATAATTCTTGTATACACTCTTTGACGGGATTTTCACCCTATGAACTGATGTATGGTCAGAAACCTCGACGTCCTCTTACAGTAGAAATAATTTTTACTATTATATTTTTAATTATTATTTAGTTACAAAACAAAATTGAGGATATTTGCCTTACCAGAGGTTATGGCGAAAATTACAATAGATGAATGTTTAAAGGAAGAGTTGGATATAAAAATGGCTCATCTCAAAAAAATAACGGAGCTGACTATACAAAATATTGGTATAGCTCAGCTCAAACAAAAAAGGATTATGAAAAAAGAACAAATGGTTCAAAATCTTTTGCTATAGGACAAAAGGTTCTTGCATGGAAACATAAAAGGTCGGATAGGGAAGGAGGCAAAATGTTGAACCCCTTGATAGGCCCATATTTGATCAATAAAATATTTAATAAGGGCAATTAATTATATTATATAAATTATTATTTATTGTATATCAAGGTGTATATGAATTGATAACATCAAATAATATCATATTAAAAACGAAATATAATTGTCAAATTTAAAAGAATTTATTATACGAAACAATGAAAATGGTAATGATTTTTTAAAAATCTTTTTATGAAGTAAAAATTTTTTAGATATAAAAATTAATAATTAATAACATTATAATTATTTTAAATGTTTTTATTATAATTAATGCATTGCCTTAAGATTTGGTTCCCAAAATGGGCTTGATGTTGAAAATAATCCACATGATGCGGAGTTTGTCGATCCAAAGTCCCCCATAGGTATTGTATTTCGGATATATATTAGAATTATTTTAAAATGCTTTTATTAAAAATAATGCATTGCCTTTAGATATTGGTTCCCAAAATTGGCTTGATGAAAATAATTCACATGATGCGGAGTTTGTCGATCCAAAGTCCCCCATAGGTATTGTATTTCGGATATATATTAGAATTATTTAAAAATGCTTTCATTATAAATAATGCATTGCCCTTAGATATTGGTTCCCAAAATTGGCTTGATGATGAAAATAATCCACATGATGCGGAGTTTGTCGATCCAAAGTCCCCCATAGGTATTGTATTTCGGATATATATTATAATTATTTTTATTTTAATAAATGCATTGCCTTTAGATATTGGTTCCCAAAATTGGCTTGATGATGAAAATAATCCACACAATGCAGAGTTTGTCGATCCAAAGTCTCCCATAGGTATTGTATTTCGGATATATATTAGAATTATTTTTAAATGTTTTTATTATAATTAAGCAGCACATCTGGATGAAGATCAAGGTAGTGGTTCCCAAAATGTTGGGCTTGAAGATAATTCAACTTGACTTATCAATCCAAAGACTCACATAGGTTTCTGATATATATATAATATATTTATTTTTTAATTTATTACGTATACAGAATTGAATGATGATATTTTGATAAGTATCCCTAGATATTTTTTTCCTATAACAAAGGCATGGGAAAAATATCATGCTAAAATATATGGTCTAAAGTCTCCCAAACGTTGTCGGGATATAGACTATGGGAAACAACTTGGTGAACCCACCATCCTGGAGAAAATTGAAGGTGATGGGAATTGTTTTTATAGGTAAAACATTAATATAAAATTTCGTTTTATTCTACTTTATATAATTTAGCACGATTGGTGTAGAGATCATTGGGGTTCAAAATTCCAATATTATTCTCAGGCAATGGTTAGCACAATTTATGCTAACATTTGAGATGGGAAAGGTAATCGAGAATTATATTTCCGATACGAATAAAAAATAGGCCTTAAAACTTATGTGTTAAATAATGTTATGACAGGGCGGATATGGGCTTCTGACACAGAAGTCAGGGCAATGGCTACAATGTTAAATACACCAATTTTTACATATATGAAATATAATGATAATTTTATATGGGCCCGATATGACCCTTTTTATATTCGTGATAATATTAAAATATTTAATAATAATTTTATTTATAAAAAAATGGAGGAAACCATTTTGAAAATGTTTCAGATTGCAATCATTTATCTTCCATCATTATTTAATATATTTTTATTAAATTAATTTATTTTTATATAAAAAAATATTTCATTCTTTATAATTTATATTCCGCCTGATATATTTTTATGAAAGTTGTAGTTTATAAATATAACTAGTAGATAGCCCGTCAAAAATGACGGGGAATGAGAATTTTCTTCTTATATTTATGCTAATTATTACCTGTTATTTGAAAATTATATCCAATTTTATTCTTTTTACCCCCTCCCCTCTTCAGGCCAGGTTCAATCCATTAAAACTAAGACTAAATACTAAAATTTGAGTACTTGATAATACCAATATGTTAAATTTACGATCATTTATACATAATATTTAATATTAAAAAAAATTCCCAGGTAAAGTACAAAGTCAAAATAATTTTGAAAAATTCATCCAAGCTGAATGAAAGATCATAATAATTTTGGTAGTTGAGAACTAAAATAAAACATTTAAATAATCCAAATGAATTTAAAAATATAATAAAAATCAGATTTTCATGGTCCTTGGTTTTTTGATCAGGCCGAGCCCAGGCCTGCAAAATAACTTTTTTAGGCCAATGTCTGACCCATAGTTATTAATAATAAAATTATCAAACGTCCAAGTTCATAATTTTCCCCAAGCCCAGCCCAATATAATTTATAAAAGTATTTTCCAAGCCCAGTCCAACTCATAATAATTTTTCTCAAGCCTGGCCAACCCATAGTAATTTTCAAAATTTTTTCCAAACCTGGAGATAGGTAAATCTCTAAAAACCATATCTATTTTTTATTCTATCTTAACACAGACCAAGACCAACCCATTTAGACTAAGAGTGAATACTATTTTTTGGGCAAATTTTTTTTAAAAGAACACTATTGGCTAAATTTGATTGAAGTTTTGAGGATTATTATAATAGATGCTTAATATTAAAAAAATTCCCAAGCCAGGTCCACGCACTTGGGAAAATTTTCTCAAACCTGCCAAAGACCATAATAATTTTGGTAGTTGAGAACTGAAATAAAATATATAAAAAGTCACAATGCATTTAAAAATACAGTCAGAATATGAAAGTTGCATGGACCTTGGTTTTTAATCAGGCCTGGCCATGTCTTCAAAAGAAATTTTCAGGCCAAGCCCATATTTAAAATTAAAAATTTTTTTGAAAAATGTTTAGCAAGCTATGTCCAAGCAGCGTCTACATGACAGGATTTTCACTGGATGCAAACCCCCTTCGAAAACCTTTATCTACCCCCCTAAAAAATCCCGCCACCTTCGGCGGAGATATTTCCCCATTATTATTTTCACCTTTTTAATTATAATGATACTCTTTTCAGAGCATTTATAAAGGATAACTTAAATTAATCTATGTACTACCAATTATCGATATTTTGTGAATATAAAGGATTTATTTTTTAGATAATAAATTCAATTAAATCCTCCATTATTTACAATGAATTCATTATTATAACTTTTGAGCTTGCTGAAATATCTAAACCTTTTAAATGTAATTTAAAAGGATAGCAGAAAGTTTTATTTGGAAAACAATGTGTGTGATTGTTTGCAATATATAGATTTGGTCGATGAATTGTATTATAATAGTTCTATAATAAAATTATTCATTTTTACAGCAATAAATTTTGCCCTATTTTATCTCAAAATTCAATTGATAACCCCCCAAAAAATTTATCCTACCCCCATTAAAGCCGCCTACCCCCTCTAAAAATAGGATGCAAACTGTTCCTACCCCTCCCGCTCATGTAGACGCTATGTCCAAGTCCAAATCAATTGTAAAAAAGATTTCCCAAGACCAGGAAAACTAAGAATAATTAATTTTTTCTTTGGATTTTGAAAAATATAAGAGGTTTATAAGAATTAAATCTGTCTAATATATGTATATATTAATTGGGAAAATTTTTCAAAATTATCATCAAATGAAGGGGAAATAGATTTACCTATCATTATATGAAATTCATGAATACACATTAAAGTACCATGCTGAAAATATGTTCAACCTAATTAAAATTTTAAACAAACCACCACCTCTCCAAATGATTTATTATTTGTTACAAATAATAAAATTAAGAAATTGATATTAAATTACAATAGAAAAAATAAAAAGATATTTTAAGTTATCAAATAATAGGAGGTTATCTACAATCATAGTCAAATTATATATAAGTAAAACAAAAATGTTATACATTTCATCAAAAATGTTATAATAAATTTTGAATAATATACATTCTACAATTATGAAGTTATGAGAAAATATACAACACTATATTATAATAGTTTGAATGGTATTGAAGTATTAGTAAGTGGACAATTTTTACAAAATTATTTAATTCTTTATTTTATTCTTCAGAATATTACACTGCTAATAATATCTGCAATTTCTCTTGGAATAACTGTCAATTTTCTCTTAAACCATACAATAAATATATTACAATAACTCAGATCGTAATATTAAAAGGTGCTGGAAAATAAGGATCTACTATATGTCAAACAATATATATGGTTAAAAGAAAATATTGATGATATTACCAAATATTCTGAGTCAATTTTAAAATTGACAGACAAATGTAAAATATTAAAAGGCAAAAATATAAAATAGCTTTTTATTTTAGGAATCTAAAAATTGACATCTCGGAACAGTATTATTTTTTATGTATATAAAATTAACTGCATTATACCTTAATGAAATTGCTATCCCTATGTCTAATGATTCTGTACATTATGTTACTATTATTTGTTATTTATTATTGAATAATAGCTAGATCAAGATAAAGCCAACAAAGAAAATGAAAACCCTATAGTTATTAATAAAAATATTCCTATTCCTACTCTTAAAAGATATTGTATCATTTCTATTATAATTTTATTATATAACTCAAATATAATAATTTATATATATTTTATGGGAAAATTATCTTTCAAAATAAAAGTTATTATTAGTTTTCCAACTGTTTATTAAATATTGATACAATTATTTACAACATATATTTATCTAGTAAGTATATAAATAAAATTTAAATATAACCATTATCAAATAATAAGTTCATATAAAGTTTAATAACTGAAAGGTAATATATAATGATAAATACAATTAAATATTTACTTTTACATATTTTTTAATAAATAACTAATAATTGAATCATATCAAACATTTTGAATATTTTAATTTTTTTAAACTTAAATGTGTCCAAAATATTGTTATTAATGTGAAAATTTTAAGGATTTTTTTAAAACATTTTGGACACAGCTTAAAATAAAATTTTAGTTAAGTATTATTCAATATATTTTTGGGATTTAAAGAAAAATTATTTGGAGAATATAAAAATATTTCTTAAAATTATAAAAATAAAATTTGATATCTATTCTATCTCCAGTTTTGGAATAATAATAAAAATGATTATTTTAGAAAGGAACTATTAAATATACACATCATATAAAACCTACACTTATATCATAAAAAAATATTTAAATGCTTTTATGACCTTCATAAATATTCTTTTAACTTCTCCCTTAACAATCAATCTTAAATGCTATGTATACCTAATAAATTAAGACCCTGGATTTTGACCCATACCAATAATCTTCTAAATAGCCAATGGATACAACCACAGAGTTTTTGTGACACAATCAGGTTGACCTCATATTTGATTTAAATCTATGATATGAGGTCTTTGTTTAAAAGAGTATTTATGAAGGTCTTAAAAGCATTTAAATAATTTTTTATGATAAGTGTAGGTTTTATATGAAATTCATGTGTATATTTAATAGTCTAAAATAATCATTTTTATTATTATTCCAAAACTGGAGATAGAATAGATATAAAAATTTTAAGAAATATTATTCAAAAAATTTATTGAATAATTAACTAAAATTTTATGTTTTAAAAAATCCTTAAAATTTTCACAAATTAATAACAACACTTTGGACACATTTAAGTTTTAAAAAAAATTAAAATATTCAAAATGTTTATCAAAGTATAATTAAAAATAGTTTTACCCCTAAATTCCTAGAGACATACTGTGCCATTAAAACTCTCCTTTATTCTACCTAGTTTGAAGTATAAATTTCTTTGCAGCCAATTTTAAAAGACTTGAATATTCCAATAACGTTTAGGTTAACTATATAAACTATAAGAAAAACCTTATGAAGTGAAGATGGTAAAATTTGATATAAACTTGAATGAATGTTAAGGTTATTACATGATTACTATTGGACCGATTACCCTATAATCATTTTTATTGGACAAATTTTTTTTAAAAGAACACTATTGGCTAAATTTGATTGACGTTTTTTGAGGATTATTATAATAGATTCAATATATTCATTCTG